CTTTTGAACCGACCGCTTAGACCTCTTTCAATGTAAAGCAGAAGGTACTCAGTGTTGAAGGCTACAGTTATGGATGTTGTAAGAAACACTCCATTCCGAAACACAGCAAGAGGGGGGAAAGTCAAGGTCAAAGACAAGATAGAACCCAAAATTATGAGGCTTCCATACAAAGATGTCATAGAAAAGAGTCTTGAATCCATGGTGGCTTCCAGTTGGCTTCTAGCAAAACAAGAGGGTCCACAACCTTACATATTCATTTGCCCTGATGGTTGAAAGTTCATATCCCTAATGAGGAGCCTTGTCTCTCCAACAGAGGGCCCTGTGACAGACTCTCCACTTTATTTTTACCTGATGGCCCAATGACACCAAGCGTTCTGATCAGTTGTGATGTAAATCTTGGGCACTTTTTGGGGTTTTGTTCTTGCCTCACTCCCAGTAAGTTTTGGGGACTGGCAGCCCTGGGGCGGGGGAATTAGTAGGGATAGAAAAATGGGAGCAGAGCTTTGACCTGCCAGAGAGGAGCCCCTGCTGACACGGTCAGTCTGACCCATTGAATGGCCTGAATACGATAAATGCCGCTTTATCCCTCCTTGAAAGGCAGGAGATAGCACAGTCTAAATGCCCGGGCATGCTTAAATAGGCTACTCGGGATGTTTGAGTTGAGCGTGTTTGAAATCTGAGCTCTCTGACAGCCTGGGAGCTGCCACAGGTCACCTGCCTTGCTCCGTAGGGACAGGCCCAGGTCTCACAAGAAATTGTCCGTAGACGAATTGTAGTACAAATTCCTTTCTTTGTTGGTTGGCCTCTTTCACTAGACCATGGCCTATAAAATTTTGTAAAAACAATTCTTAAATATTATTTGAAAGGGCAAATGGCCCACGCTGAAAGGTTTGACAGTTTGACATATAGTGCATGGTTTTGATAGCTCGGAAACTGCACAGTGTGGCCAAGATTCTCCCCCTGCCTGTTAGAAGCCTGGTGTTTTTTAAATAGTGTCTTGTTGCTGTGCAGAGTTCCTTGGCTCCTCGCAATCTGACAGGCAATGAGTGTGCTTCAGTGATCTTAAATCCTTTTAGACTAATTTGTGACCGAGCAGAAAAATAGCTAGCACCTTGGAATCCAGCGTCCGAAAAGCATAGAACCAGGTACTGCCAATTAAAGAGCCTTTTGGATAATCATATCAAAGCAGATCACTCCAGCCTTCTGATAACACCAGAGCCAGTGCCTAGAGAGAGAAGAGCCCAGAGTTTCACTTCAGTGAGGGGAAAGAAAGGGATTTGAGTGGCCTGGTCTCATCAGAGCCCAGGAAGTCGCAGGGAGTGGATTTCTGCACTAGAATGTTACCTCTGTGCAGTCAGTGTGTGCTCAGCGCCCCACGGCTGCCTCTGCATAGCCAAAGGCCATTTCCAGGAGCCTCTGGCCCCGCAGTCACTGGCCTGCTAGTTAATTGCCACACGGACTTCATGACACATGGGCAGATAATATGACATTTTCGGTTTCTGTCACTAGCAAACGCCACAACGTCGCTTGCACTAGTTGCTAAGAAGCTGTCAGAAACCATTAGCAGTTGGCTAAAGTCGCCCTATGGCATTTCCTCATAGCATCAGCAAAACGAGCATAAATCACCCACTGGAGCCTACTGCTATCCTAATGAGGCTGTAAGCTTGTTTATGGACTAGCATCATTTTTATGATTATTTCCACCTTTTCAGTTTGCCTTCATTTGGCGGCAAGAGAAGTCAGCTCCAGGAATGAAGTCACTGCTGACATTTTACAAATGTGGTTCAGAGCTGCTGCCTGCTGCCGTGTGGTCGGCCGGCGGTTCTCCAAGTTTGTTTAGTGATCTTAAAAATAAAAAAAAAGGAAATAAATCCTCTGGAGACCGCATAGAGGTGACTGTATCAAATTGCAGAGTGAATGGAAATGCTAAAGGTACAATTGACCATTGAGACTCTCCTCTGAGGTCGAGACGTTCCGAGATCAATTTTCAATTTTCGAAAGTGGAAGAGGTTAAACAATTTATTAAAATCTATGAAAGTGTTTGCTTTTAGAATAGTCTGTTTTATTATGCTCTTCTCCTTCCCCATCGTCTCCGTTTCCCTGACTGTGTCGGAAAGGAGCAGGGTTTATTGTTCTAGGCTTTTCTGAACATGCACCAGTATTTACACTGGATTGAAAGCATTTGCTTCCAATGAAAATCTTGTCTTAGATTACAACCCAGCAGTGTAATTTCCCTCCCAGATGGGAGTAAAGTAGCTGTATTTGCCTAAAAACAGTAGGAAGAACAAACTGTGCATTAAGCCAAGGCTGTTTTTGGCTTGAGCTAATGATGTAATAGAAACCTTTTATTCGGGAGAGGTCACTGCCAGGGACTGAAGGGGGTGATCTGGCTCCTGCTTGAAAGGTTTCTCCATTGTATCTACATAAGTCTTCACTTAAAAAATTCTGTTCCTAATGCTTCTGCTTTCATACAGCAGAAATAAACAGGAAAGGTTCTGGTGAGTGTTACACATGGAATGCAGAAAACCTTCCTCCCCTAATGGAGTATATAATTCAGGTGCCCTCAAGGCACGCTTTCAGGAATTCTTTTGCCCGAGGTAATGGGAAGCTAAGGCTGCTTTAAGGCCTTGATTATCTATTGATGCACAAAGCTGGAAAAAAGTCATCTCCACTGGATTATAGTAGATATTTCCATAAATTATCAATGAATTCTCTTCTAGGCAGGCGCTAGGCATTGCTTGCTAAATTAATCTGAAGGGGTTTGAGATGGATAAAAAGGCTATTTTTTTTTAAAGGTGGAAAACAATCATGAGAGGTGGGGAAAAACAGTATTGTTAGGTTAGAAGCTTTTCATTTTTAATCAATGATCAAGTCATATATTTCTTTTCCTTGGTTACCTTTTGCATATTGAAAGTGGATTAGCCCATTGAAAATTTAAATGCTGAGGGTTGTTTTCCTTTCTCATGTTTCTTTAATGAATTGTTATTTTATATGGTGAATTGCTTCTCTGTATAAAAAGCCTCTTTAAATACTGGACTTTCAAAGAATTTATTAGGCAAACCCAAGGGGACTTGTCATAAAACACTTGGTTATGCAAATAAAGACTTGGGTAGGCTGGAAGGGAGCATTGATTTAGGGATGAGGTTGTCTGGTCCAGAATGGACCCCAGCAGCTCCACATCCAGCCACATGACCTTGAGCCAGTCACCAAACACAGGACTTTCTTCTCTGATGAAGTGATGGCTTTGGGTTGGGGGGTCCTCATGATCTCTTCCAGTAAGGGTCCAGACTGTGATTCTGTGGACCTTTAACAACATAGATCACTTAAAATACGGTGAAATTATGGATTGTAAACCAATAAAAGTTTAAATTCAGAAGCTGTGCAAAAGTTTGGCATTTGTGGCATATGCTACAATAATAGTAGAAATGTTGACATTAGTTCCTCACCCAACAAAGTTTTCCAACTTCAGCTCAGCTCAAGTCAAGGCAATTGAAAACACATAAAATAAAATAAAAATGTGGGTCACTTTTCTTTTTTTTCTCAAGGGCGGGGGTTGGGTTTCCTGAGGGAGCTATTACAAATAATTGAGTTTTAACATAACTACTGTAGGTTAGACTGGCATAACTGAAAATGAAATAGAGAATTCTTTTTGGATGTAGGACCTCAAGAAAAGAAATGGGAAATAGAGAAGTTCATGAAGCCATGTAAATGAATCTGAAGCTAGTTCTTATGTCTAGTCACGGGGAAATCTGTCTTACCACAGTTAGCAGGTTCTTTGGACTCTACGGATTGCCCTCCAATAACTTTTTTAACTAGAGGAATGTGCTCGGGGGTCTATTTGTTATCTCATTTCTAAGCCTGGCTCCTGTAGCTCTTCTTTTCTGGACCCAGATCAACCAGTCCATTTCTAAAAGGCAGAGGCATCCATGGAGACCAGGGCCCTAGGTGGCTCACTGGAGGGGGATGTTTGACAGAAGCTTTGATACTTATTAATGTAGTGGGTCGAGTCCATTATTGTTTTCCCTTTTGACTTTGGTACCAAGACAAAAAAAAAATAGCTACTTCCATTTGGATCTTGTGACTCATTTTCGACACTGATTATATGGATGGAAATTTTATATTTTTTCTTGTTAAATGTGGCATTATAAAAGGAGTACTACTTTTTTTTAATTTTGTTGCATCACAGAGCCAAAATATATTCTATAAGAAACAGTTTAAATGTTATTAAAAAAAAATGGAAAAATAGGATCCAATATAGAAGACTAGATTACCAAGTGACTTCAGGATGCAAAAAAATTTAAATCTAGAAGACATTTTAGAAACTGCCTGGATTACTAATGTAATGTAATTCCAACTTAACTATTCATTTAGCATAACTTTATTTGATTTAAATAGTAGTTGTTTTCTAATTTAAAAACCATTTCAGGGGGTTTTTCCCTTATAAAACCAGATGCTCTTCCCTAAGAAAAATTCTATTCTATTTGAAGCATTCCTATGTCAAAGTTCTTATATGATGGATTACCTACATTTCCCTGTCCTAGTTTAACCAGTCTTAAGATTGGTGGAAATAGTTGATATCTTAAATGCATCTTCTCACAAGTTGATGTCGATGACTGTATGTGGAATTTGAATACCCAGGCAGCAACAGTTCATGACTACCGCCATATTTAACTCCCTAGTAGAGTTAGACAGTCTCAATGAGTCTCAGCTATGCAGATTGGAATGATTACCATGGCAACAAAGCCACTAAAGAGATTGGCTATTTCCCTCCATTCCCTTTGACCTTTAGCACTGTTCTTTGGAAGAAGTTCTTTAGACCTGATTACTTTTGAGCCTAGGCCTTGTTCTTTCTCTTTTGTCTCGAAAAAAAAAAGAAAAGTACCAAAGAAACTATTAATCATTTAAATTGCTCTTTTGGTTTTGTTTATATCCAAAGGCATTCTATTTGAATAAAGCATGTCAAGGTAGCATCAGTCAAAATTTGATTCACTATGTTTGCAGGTGATGGCTTGGACAACAGTGTAGCTTCCCCCAGCACAGGTGACGATGATGACCCTGATAAGGACAAAAAGCGTCACAAAAAGCGTGGCATCTTTCCCAAAGTAGCCACAAATATCATGAGGGCGTGGCTGTTCCAGCATCTAACAGTAAGTGGATTCTAAATGACATATGTAAACTAAATATGGACAATGAACCAGTTTTGATAGAAAAATAAATGATCCCTCTGGACTTGAAATATTTCTTAAATCACTGTGTTCGCACAGTTTTTGCAAAGTGTTAGCACTTTTTTCCTAGTTACGTACCCCACATGAGGAGTTTTCTTTGAAGTTCGCTATTGCAATTTTGTTAACCTTTGTAAGTTATAAGGTTTAGGAGTTCATGTGCACTTGTGATTTTAAGTGTGTGTGTTAATGATGTTGCTTTTCTAAAGTGTGACCCTGAAGTATTTAAAAGAAAGTTAGTCAAACCCTAGAGAGAATGACTTAATATCTTCAGTGAATAGCTTTAGTGGACCTTTACAGTGAACAGTCCACAAAAATTTAAATCATGTTGCAATGGCAAGATGATCGCATAATTTGATGTTAAGTGGCTTGAGAGCACCAGCTTCCATTACAAAACACTCATGTGAGTCAGAGTTCCCAGTGAAAGTTGTCCCTGCATTTAGAACTGTAAAGGAAAACAGCAATATACAGTCAGCTCTTCCTGTGTAGTCCCTTGTGACTTTTCAAGTAGAGTAACAGTTTATATTGTCTGTGTGAGTATTGCTGTTTTCACTGCAGGAATTCTCCTGGAGATGTGAGAAACTGGAAATTTGGGGCTTTATACCACCAGGGGATTTATTTTGTTTGGGTATTGTTCTGAATGAATTTCATGTTCAAAATATTTATAATCATAATATTTTGGTGGATATTTTTGTAAGTGCATACGGATTTGATGACATCTGAGGAGGGAGACAAAAACGAAAATTTATGGATAAAATAACATTTTAAAAATCAGCAAAATTGTTGACCAGGGGATTTTCAATATAAGGGACAAGTGATGGATTTAGACAGGCTGTAGCCCAGCTGCATAGATGAATGAATGTTAAAAACTCAACTTTTTTATTCATGTCAGGAGCAAATCCTTTATGTTACTATTTTTAGCCTACTTTGCTTTTCTTAAAGTCATTTCCCATCCCACCCATGACCCCTTAGATATTGAGGTTCATTCTGCATTGTTACAAACATGTCCAGAACCTGTTGACCTCATTCCCTTGCCTGCTTTCTAAGCCATGCTCCTCAGTGAGTTGTCTTGGGACAGGGAGGGAAACCTAGGGGAACACTGAAGGCCACTTTGGTTCTGCTTCTCTGGATAGAAGTTGAGCCTCCAATAATTCTCAAGGTATAAATTAATCCTTATGTTCCAGCATTGGTGAATCAAATGAAAACCGAGAGCAGTAGAAATAAAATAATAATAATAATAATAATAATAATAATAATAATAATAATAATAATAATTCTTTCTTTCTCTTCTTCCCACCATGATTCCCGATAGTATCTTGACTATGCTGAGCATTTTTGAATGAACTTGAGGGCTTGGTGAATGCTGGAAGTTAGTCTAGGATTCAGATTGTTTTACCTGTTATAATTTTGGTATCATATTAAGTTCACCTAAAATCTGACTCAGGTACCATTACTCATCTGCCGCTTGTTGCATGTAGGAAGAAGGTATTCTCAGATCTGCCTCATGCAAGTTTCCTATTGAGGTTTATCAATCACTGTTGAACTTGGGGGAAGGAGGACTAGGGTGTCCAGGTCATGCCATGAAAAACAATAGTATGACATTTAGAGGAAAAGTGGCAATAGGTCAAAGGTACACATGCCAGGATGCTATTTCCTCACTAGCTAACCTGCTCTTGAGTGAGGGGATCGAATCAGGATGAGCCTGAAGTCACAACCAGACTATTTCTATTTCTTAACCGAACAGGAAAAATGAATGGATTTCTTCAGCCCCATCTCAATCAGCAGGGGAGCTTTGGCTTTACTTGAAACTGAGATGCCCCTGAATAAAATATAATCAAATATTAGTTCAGACAGAATCAGGAGAAGAGAGAGAGAGAGAGAGAGAAGCAAGTTTTTTATTCATCTGCCAGATTTTCCATTTTTCTAGGCTGTACCCTTGCGAAAAACCTTGCAGAGAGCTATATTATCTTTTTAAAAAAACAAAAATCCTTTCTAACATTGTGATTATACCTGGATTGCAATGCTTATGTGGACTATGCATTACTGGGGCAATCGTAAGAGAAATTATTCATGAGCTGCCTGATTTCTTAAGGCCTGGCTAATTGCCTACGGTTTTAGAGTCTTTGCTGGCCTGTGTCACTGCCCTGGAAGAGGAAGTCCATGCCTCCATGTCTCTCTGGCTTTCTATGAGTGTTCATAGAAGTTGCCTTGTGGAGTCCATTGGATATTTGAACCCTCCTTGCCCACGTCAATGCCATCTGCTCAGACAGAAATATTGATAACAGTCTGAAAGAGCTAATTGCTCTCAGAACATTGTCTAAAAAAAACAAGGTAGAGATATAAAATATTCACACCATTCCTTCCCCCAAAGAGAAAAATTCCCTCCCTCCTCTTAATTGCAAGAGCAAATAAATTCCCATTTACAAAGAACACCCTCCCTTTTGTTTTGTTATTCTCCTTAAATGAATGCCTGATCTTCATTGATACATTTTTCATCAAGAGCTCCTTCCAAAACATTCTATGGAATAAAAAATACTATAGATATCAAAGAGGTTTTTCTTGTCATTGTTGTTGATTGTCCAGATATGAGTACTGACATCTCATTCTAATCCATTAGTAACTTTATTTCAAGTTCTGAGAGACTTTCAGGGATACATGATTCATTAGGAAGACTGAACACATTTTAAATAATCACATCATTGCTATGTGATTTTTGCAGTTTATCTAGAAAATCCTTTCTGAAATTTTGCTGGATAATAAAAGAACAATTGAAACTATGGCTAATTAAAACAATAGCGATAACCATTGATTGACAAATTGTAAATGAATCTTTTTTTTTTTTAAATGCCAAAAGGCATACTCTAAAGCCTCACATACCTTATTGAAAGCAAATTGCTATTTTTTTCTTTTTGAAATAAATGGATCAATCTTTTCATTGAGTTTATTCAGTTAAAAAAAATCTGCCCATGAAAGGGCTTTCAAGCATTTGTGTGTTAGAAGAGTAGAATAGGCCCTGAATAAAAACCTTTCTGGATTTGCACCCCAGCTGCATGAGAAGAAAAATGTGCTGGTCTGTAGTTATCCACAGGTAGATTTAATCAGTAGCACATTTTACTACTCCAAAGAGAGAACTGAAAGCTCATTCTTGGACTCGCAGTCTCTAGAAAGCTAAACTGCACATACTTGTGTATAATGAAAACAATAAAAGAAAAGGAAACAAGTTTTAAACTTTGGTGATTATGGAGTAAAAGGAAATTTCAGTGCAGTATATTCCCAGCTTCGACTTAGTTGAACATTTGCCAGTGTTGATAAGTAGAGAAGTTCTCTTAAAAGAAAAGATTCCCTGGAATTGAAAAGAATGACTGGCATGATTTAGATAATAAGAGAGAATTCAAAGAAAATAAAAGCATGTATTAATAGAAATGCTTGCATTTGCCTGAAGAGAAATTATTGCAAACAATTAAAAAGTACTTAATATTTGCATATGAGTCATTGTATCGTCACAATCCATTCAGGGACTTATGTCACATCAAGGTGTGTGGTGTGTGTGTGTGTGTGTGTGTGTGTGTGTGTGTGTGTGTGGTGTCCCTTCTTGAGGGCGTTATTCCAGTTGTAAACAGCCTACTATGTCATAATACTTAAGCTATGTAAGTATGTAAACAGCCTACTATGTAAACAGCCTACTATGTCATAATACTATGTCATAATACTTTGTGACGCAATGTAGCAGAAAAACCGGTAATATGCAAAGCACTTTCATATTACCGGTTTTTCTGCTACATTGCGTCACAAAGAAGTGTATTCAAGGACCTAGTGAAAAATGAGGAAAAGAAATAAATTTAATGTTTAAAGTACAAATCAAAGATCTTTCTTCTTTTTTGTTTGCCTACCCGATCATATTGCAGTTTTCAATATAATCTAAGTGGAGAAGAGGTTAATGTGGTTCTTATTTAAAATATGCAGAGACTATTTTTCTGCATGAAGCCACTGTGTGTGTCTCAGGAATCCTGAAAGTTAGGGGCAGTGGAGATATTTAAAATGTATACCTGCAGATTCAAATGAAAAAAGCATTCAAGAGTCAATATTTGGCATGGACCAATAGGAGAGGGGACCCTGAAGGTTAATGGGGAAAGAGGTGATCCAGAAGGTTATTATGGGGAGGCAATCCAGAAGATTACTGGGGGAAAGTGATCCAGAAGGTAAAATAATTTTTTATTCACATTTCCTCCAACCCCCCCCCATCTTTTCATTCATCTTGAGGATCCCCTTGGTTTAAACCTGACAATTGAGACAAAGTTTATTTCTGAGTCATACACATATATTTACTGTGTGTTTTTGTTTCTTTTCAATTTTTTTTTTTTGCATGTGAACTTGTAGCCTGGAAAATATTTGTGTGTGTGTGTGTGTGTGTGGCCAAATTTATGTCTTCATTTCTGATTTATAAGACTTTCCTCTATTGTGGATAAAGCCAATGTGAGGGGTTGTAGAATCTTCCAGGTTGAGAATGGCGTTTCCATAGAAACACTATTAGATGAAAAGTGCCCTGCGGGTCCGCCGCTCTAAGGATGGAGTAAATGGAATTGAATTGGGAATTGAATGCTCTAGAAGAGACAGATGTTGTTTCATTGGTTTTGCTTTTGGTAACAAGATCTGTTGGAGACATCTTACTGTCATATCTCTGCCTGCGATTTTGGAAGAATTACTGTCTAACCATTATGAATTATTATGACAATGAAAAAGTAGTTCTAATTGTTATCTAGCTAACCCATTCTGTTGGTCAAAGTGAGTGAAAGGTCAGAAGGTAGATAGATGGACCTATAGGTGGGCTCACAGGTAGGTAACAGAAGGCATTTATTTTCTCTTCTCCCATTTGCATTTCTCTTTCTGCCCTTCACCTCCACATTCCGTCAGCTTAAACAGTGAAC